CTCAGTAGGTGTTTCATCAAGAAAGGAATAGAAAATATTTCAGTTTTTCTTGTTTCAGCTTCTATTCCAATTGAAAGAAATATTGGATAAGTCCACATTAATAAGTAACTCTGTAAAAGGAGCTTATCTGAAAGGTGAAAGAGTTGGTACTGAAATCTCCATGCCTTCTCTGTATCTGGTTTAAGGGCTATTTATTTAGGTTTTACTCTGTTCATGTGGATTGCATGCCCTTTAGAAGCTGAAAAAAAAGGCTGCTCCTGGAACACATTTCTCAACTTAGTTTCATCCCTAAGTAAAACAGCTCACACTCAAAGACTGCTCCAATTTTCAATCCAAAATGTGGTAAGTGGGGGCAATTGGGAGATTCACTTCAAAGCCACACTCCTACCTGAACTAAAGCATGAACATAGATGTTCTGATTGGCTTGGTGATTCATTTTAGTGCCTCCAAATGTCATACTGTGTATAGCTGTATTTTTCTGAGCCTGTAATTTGGATTTGCTACATTTTAGCAACAAAAACCATTCACAGATTGTGACAAAAAGTGCATCTGCAATTACATACATCAGCACAGAATCCACACTGTTTTTCAAGAAAGTGAAGTGAAATGTCACTTTATCATTTCTTCGTTCCCACCCTCCGACATTGTAGATTGCTCTCCATAAATCAGGAAGCCAGTATCTCCTCCGTTTCATAACATTGCAATTTCTTCCAGTTCAAAGAGTTCTTCAGTAGTGTGGTTACTTTGAATGTGTTGAGTCTTTAGCAAAGATGACTTAATTCACATAGCTATTAAGGGCATACTCAGAATGGTAGTCAATGGAAGAGCAGGGACAGAACAAGGCTATTCAGAACGGCCAAGAAAAGGTAAATGCTTGACAGACTCTGCTTTCACAACAAAGATTAATGAAGAAAGTACAGGGGTAATTTATCTAGGATGCCTCCATGTTGGGGAATTTGTAACTGAGACTAAATATTTTCCCATTTTAACTGAGACCAGGTAACTTCCTCTGGCTCAAGGAGAAAATAATCCTGGTACATTGTCTAATTCTATTGTATGTAACAAACATGAGCTGAATGTTAAGGAGCTTATTTTTCTCACTAAACATAAAACCAAAACTGTTCCCCTCTTTTGTGCTCTGTTGTCCCCCATTGCTTACAGAATCACAATCATGGAATGGTTGAGGTTGGAAGGGACCTCCAGAGGTGATCTGGCCCAATGTCCCTTCTCAGGCAGGGCCACCAGACAGTGGCCCAGGACTTACTTGTGCTACTTGTTATATAAACACATAAATTAACCACAGAAAGGGGGAAACCAAGGCAGAATTCATTTTCTTGTGGTTAAAACAGCAGCATAAGACAGTTCAGAGGCAAAGCTTTTCTTCTGTTTGCTAATGCGTCTGGTCCTTCACTTAGCTCTCAATCGGAAACTGCACATTACTATCTCTTACAAAACTTTTAGAAATATTTTCATATTTCTAACATCTTTGTCATTTTTTTTTCATTTTGAAACCTTCTTTAGAAAACATTCCATAGTGCTTAAACTGGTCTCCAAATGGTTGACCTCCTTTCTCCCACACTAATCATCCTCAGGCTGAGCAGTGTCTTAGGTTAACCTAAAGATGCTAGAACACAGGAAGTACTTCACATCTTGGTGAATAAAATATTCTGGGTTCAAATAAACTCCCATAAAAATCAATAGAAAAATTCATCTGTGAAAGTGAAAGAGAGAGAGGCTGACAAAAGTGGACTATATGAAGAGATTAACACGTAATGGATGGTTTAAAACGACAAAGAATAACTACAAATAATAACATTGTATGTACTGAATTTAGGAACATAATTGTGTTTGGTTGTCTTGCTTATTTTTAAAAGATTTCATGACATCCAGCAAAGAACTAATAAAAGTACATTTCTAATCTAAAAGCATAACTGCCATTCCATATCATAAAGCAATATTCTTACTCTAAGGAAGATGCAAAACATAAAACAAAGAAACTTATACCCATTTAAAAATCGACAGGACTCTTACAAAGTAAAATCTAAAGGAGCAAACAACACTAAGATGTCATTTGAGACAATTGTTTCTGGTCACTATTCTTTTCTGGGTTTGTTTTTTGTTTGTTTTTCATTTTTGCTTTTTGCATTTTTTTTTTTTTTTTTACATTTCATGTTTTGTTAGATGTTACTGTATTTTACTGCCTAGTAGAAATCTAGGGGTATGGCTATTGGCTAATTAAGGATGAAAAAGAGAAAAAGTAAACTAAGTATATAAATATTTACCCATACAAAACAAGGGTAGTGAAAGGCACCTGCTGGCTGGCAAGCTACTACCTTTTCAGAAACAGTTTTTACCATAACTCACACAAACAGATTTTGCAACAAAATGAGACATCATGGGGGAAAAAAAAAGAGTGATGGTGAAGACTTCAGTAGTTGCAGGAAGTTCAAAATTTCAAACTCTCTACAGGAGAGAGATCTATTGAGGCAAAATGTGATTTTGAATGGTATCTTAACTTACAAACTTGTGCACTTGCTTATAAACACATTTAAATGAGCTTTTAGCATCCAGCTATGTAGATCCCAAGATATCCCCTTAAGGTCTCATTAGCAGAACATGCAATGGCCACTGTGGTCATCCTCAGCTATTTTGTGGATGTCTCATTCTATAATGATGGTGGCTGATTACACTTTGGCATATTTTAAGGGTACTTGGTATGTACCACGTTATTTGTCAATGCTATTACAATGGTGTCCTCAAAATTATAAGAGTTCTAAGATCTTTACAGATGAAAACAACCTATTTCATAAATGGAAAAATCTTGAAGCTCACTGTCATACGATGTGACACAGCACATTCAGAACAGCAAAATCAGCTGTTTTGTGTCTACTTGTTCTATAACCTTTTTTTTTTTTTAAGTAACTATAACTTGAAGCTTATCCATATGGATGTCTGCATCATCCTGCAGAAGAAGCATCTGACTGTCTCTAAACACTCCTATAACTGTTTTCCACACTATCCTCTTTCTGTTAGTCTGCTGTTGACTAAGGCAAAATGCACATCTGTATTACAGAAGTTTATCCTATCGATAAATCAGGCAAGCTTCAATTACTGCACAAATAAAGTTCTTTAACTTGAGGCGGGAGAGAGTAGGGAAGGTCAGAGAAAAGTGCTGAGAGGGCCAGAAAGCAGTGCAGGCCAGTTTATTGAGATTAACAGCTGCAGACTTGATGTTGCTAATGGCAAGATAGATTACACAAAACATAGGTGAATCCTTTTACGGAGTCTTATATCTTCTATATTCTTTATTATAAAGGAGCTTACTGCAGAGCCCTGCAGCTGAATTCTGTGCCCTTCTCACCCCTCAGGATTTTTAAATGCTCAAAGACAGACTGGCTGGGGTGATGGCTGCCTGGCCATTTGAATGGATGAATTCTGCTAGCCAAGATCACCTCAGACTCATCCTAATGGGCATGCTGTTATTGCTGACTGGCTGCATTTGTAGTCATCGATGGCAGTTACATTCTTGATATAGTACAGAGCAAACAACCCATGGCATGAAAATACCTTCTGAGGTCCTTTATTAAAACACGGTGATTTACGGGGTAAAAAAAAAAAAAAAAAAAAAAGGAAAAAAGAAACTCGAGGCTTCCTCCTGGAATAGCAGTTGTGTTGTTTAGTGGTGTCCCAAAGGGAGTAAAGGTACCCGCGTCATGAAAAAGCTTCCCCAAAAACAACAGGTCGCCTGACAGCGTTATTACTGCCCACGACAACCGTCAGATCCCGCCTGGGGATGCTGACCCGACTCCGCGGGCGCGCACCACCCCTCCGCGCCCGGCCGTGGAGCGAGCAGCCATGGGCGCCGTCTGACCTGCGCTCGCCTCCCCTTTGCCTCTCCCGCGCAGAACTGAATCGATGTATTTCATTTTGAATTGATTTACAGCCTACACACACACCCCCCAATTCCGCACCCCCGCCCCGGCTGCGCGCTTCAAGGCGCACTTTGTTCGTAGCGAACGACGTGCGCATCAGGTGCGGGTGAGGAAGAACGAGGCTCTCCTTCCCCTAGGTGCCGGCGGTTGCGTGGGGAGCCAGTGAAGGGTGTGGGTGATTAGCGGGGCCCCCGGCTGTCAACATAGTCCCTGCGGGGGGCGGCTCACCCGCCCCGTCTCCTCCCTTGCCTCGCGCCGGAGCAGCGGTGCAGGGGCCCGGGGAATTCCACCCTGCTCCTCTCGCACTTCAGTTCCATGAATCTTCCCTTCCCCCTAGCACTCCCCTCCGGCCCAGGGGCACGTCTCGCCCACTGCTCGTCCTCGCCGCTCTCCCCCTTCCCCGGCCGGGGCCGTGGGGCCATGGGTGCGCGGGAGGCAGCTGCCGGCTACCGCGGCGCTGCAGGGCAGCTTCCGGGGCCAAGAGGGGACACTGCCCTTTCCGTCCGTCCGTCCGCTCCCCCTCCTCTCATGTTTTTCTTTTTTTTTTTTTTTTCGCTGAGATCATTTCAGTTTCTACCAGTACTCTGATTTATATATTTTCCATACTCCACTCTTCCTCTTCCCGCCCTGGCCCATATCCCTCCGCAGTCTCGCCAAAGCGGTGGGTGTTTGAGGTGGGGTGTAGCCGGGAAGGAAGATAAGCTTGAGAATAGGAGGGGGGAGAGAAAGGAGAGATTTTGCTGCCGTGTCTGGGCTGATTGGAAGAGGCAATCATTGTATCTGCTGCCGGAGGATTAACAGCTAAACTTTTATTGCTTCCTTTTGTGCGTGCGTGTGCGAGTGTGCGTGTCTGTGCGTGCGTGTGTAAACGGAGAAGTCGCCTCTCAAGGGGGAAAATCCTTCCCATTTCCCTTTGGCAGGTGCAGTTCAAGGAGGAACTCATGAGCATTTTGTCTGATCCACGAACTGATTAGGGGAGGGGAAACGATCCCTCTCGTTACTCATTCTTTCGCAGTTTTGAAATCATTCTTTCCCCACCACCGCCCGCTCCTGCCCTTCCCCTCCCCTTCCCCTGCACTGAATGAACGCAAGAGTCTTCAGGGTCTTCTTCTGCTTCTCACCCTGGACTGGAGAAGTGCGGGGACATCTCTCTATCCCCATCCACCTCTATTTCGCTCCATCCATACCCGAGAGGATTTCAAACGGTGCAATGTGTTTTCAGTCTCTTGCCGCTGCTACCACTTGATACTATGCTACGCGCAGGGACAATGTTTTGCAAAAATGGATTTGTTCGATTTTAAAGGATTTCTTCTCTAATACGGATCACATTGCACACAAATATGACTAAATCCCCTATTTGGTAAATCTTTCTTTCCCCCCCCCCCCCCCCCCCCTTCGGGTTCCCGCCCGCCCGCCCCCACCCCTTCAGAGGAGCAAGCACTGGAGCTGATGACGGACCCATTAATCCCTTCTTCAATGCATCAAAAGAAGCCGAAAGGCTGGAAGTCGCTGGGCTCGGAGTCCTGCAGGAAATGCTTCGATCTGCTTTTGGTTTTGTATGAAACTGGTGACTAGGGGCTCGACTCGCCCCTCTGCCGCTGCTGCTGCCGCCGCCGCCGCCCGCCGGCACCTGGATGCGCCGGCCGCCGCCGTGCCCGCCGCCGCCGCGATGCAACGCTCATGGTGGTGCTGATGAGAGCTCGGGTGCGATGGGATTGAGCCGGCGGTGATCATTTGAAGGCGGTGAGGGAGAGCGAAGGAGAGGAAGGGCTGCTCTGCTGTGTGTGGGCTTAGGGATTTTTTTTTTATTATTATTTTTTCTTTTCCTACTTCCATCCTCTTCCCGCCACTGGAAGTCCTCCCGTAGCTAAATGGAATTAGTGGAGACCGAAGCCCCTTGTGTAAGGAACAGACATGACCCATGGGCGCAGCTTCTTTCACAGTGAGTATGCCCCTCTTCCCGCCCTCCCCCGGCTGAGTTGAGCCGCCGCGCTCGGGCTCCTGCCCTGCGCTGCTTCCACAACTAGCGTAACGGGACGCTCAGACCTCCGCGGAGTGAGGGTAGACTCCCCCCCGCACAGGCAGTACCCCTTCCCCACCGCCCTCCGGTGCAGCGGGAAGGAGCCGGTGTCTGTCAGCGCAGTGGGGGGCCACCCTCCCGCAGGACGGGGGGTCCATCGGGGCGCGACGCGCCTGATGGCTTTCAGCGTGACGGCGAGAGAGGGAGAACGGCCCCCGCTGTCCGCTGCGGCGCGGTGCAGCCGTAGCCGGGTCTCGAACCAGCTGGCATGGGCGAGTGGGAGCTGGGCAGCGCCGAGTGCCGAGGCGGGGGCGGCTTACAGCGGGCACGGGTCCTGCATCACAGATCCTGGCGGGGTGGATGCTGCCGCCCGGGGCGAAATCCTCCAGGAGAAGCGGGGAGGCACAAAAATGTAACAGTCATTTGTTGAAGACCGCCGGGGGCCCCACGCTGCGTGGATGGGACCCCCTCTCCCGTCTTAGTTTTGGAGAGTCCACTCTGCTGGAGGGGGTTGGCTGGCCACGGTTTCTTCCAGCACCTGTGTGTGCCCACACCTGTACAAGAACAGCTCTATGGCCAGGTGGTGCTTGTCCAACAACTCTATCCTATGCTAAGTCCTGTCTATGCCAAGTCGCAGCCTCCAAAAAGCTGCCTGGCCAAGAGGTAAATCTCTTAATGTGTAATGGAAAAACGCACAGATCCAAAAAAGATGCAAAGATGCGTAATTAGAGTGGAACTAGACAGCATGATTATAATTACACCCTTGATTAGGAAAAAAAAGGGGGAGGAGGAAGACAAGTGAGAATGCAATGAGAAATTTAATGGAAACTTCTTTAAAATAATTGCCTAACCCAAACAATCACGATATTGTGCTGTACTGTCAAAGCTTCCCAAGTGACAGTTTTCAGTGAGTGAAGATTGCATGGTTGGTCTCTTTGGGGTCTCTTTTGTCTTTTTTTCCTCCTTTTCTGTGAGAAGCACTGTTCTTTTCCTGTGGCTTGAGGAATAAAAAGACAAGGGGTCACAGAATAAAATGGCCTGCCTTGCTTAAGTAAAAAATACTGTTATCTGCTTCCTAGGCCTGGAATTTTAATTGCTTTCTGGCAATATACAGATTTTGGTGATGCTGGTGTTAATGCCACTGAATCAGAAAGCTTTCTCTCTTACTGAAATATGGGAGAAGTATTTCATTTCATCTATCCAAATGTTAGATACGTCCATAAAAAACTAATGTCTTAGTCTCATCTAATAGATTTTGTTATCAAGATTATTTTGACTCCTTCGGAATAATGAATACTGACATCATGATATGCAAGCATAGCTCCCTGTTTTGGAATAACATCGCTCTGTGGCTTGGAATCATCCTTTGTAGCAGTTACACCTGGAATTGGAAAGACCTGTGGTTTTTGTGTCATCTCGGTAACAATATATCTGTGACTTGGACCAACTCTCTCCTCTGATTTATTTTTTTTTTTACATGTAGAAAAGGAGGGGAGAGCTAATAGGTAAAGATGTGTGAAATGAACCTGTAAGAATCAGATGTGAATTGTTATTCATTGCCTAAGAAGAAGTATTTCTCACATGGGTTTTGTTTGGCTGCTGTGCGTCCTATTCTAGCTCCCATAAATTTGCGGGCAGCAAGATCATCAGCTGGTTCCATATTTTAACACCATTCCACCTTATACTATTGAAAAATCAGGTTCTGGCTGGTGAGGATTACAGGCATAGATGCAGTATGTTCACTGCATGAAACACAGCTAAAGTAAATGAGCAACTTCTGAAATGAGTGAATCCTGCATTGCCTTAAGATTTTGACACAGCTGGTGGGGAGAGTCCCAGCTAGCGCATATCGCCAGAATCCATCCCTGAGGAGAGTAAGGGCATGAATGACTGGGCAGCATTCAGATCCAAGTAGAAGATGTAGTGTTCTCACTGAATGTCTCCAACACAGAAGTTTTTAACTACCAGCTCTGCCAACATCCGTCTCTGTTAGCTGAGGGATTCAAAAAGACACAGGGGCTGTGAGCCTGACCAAGAAATAGTGAATATGCTGCCAAGTCTTCATTTTCCCAGAACTAAAGCCTTTCCCTGCTTAATAAGATAGCCATCATCCGTGCCTCAAACCCTCTGTCACATGGAACAGGGTCAAAGGCATAGAAACAGAGATCCCAGTGCTATCAGAATGCTGGAAATATGGACACTGGCTTCCTTTGGGGTAAAAATTGCATACAATTTGCAGTGTAAAAGCTGAAAATCATGAAAGCACCATCTTTGAAAGGGTCATGCAGGTAGGTAGTTGATAGCCCATGGTGACTTTAGGTGTGTCTTGGGGGTAAGAAGAGGAAAGCTTCCATTTGATTACGTTTGTTAAGGACCACAGGTCCATCAATTTCTCATCATGGGCAACAATACAAATGGCAGCTGATCAATCCAAAATGCTTGGAATAAACACACAACTTCATTTCCACTTTAACTTCAGTATGTCTGGGCTTAATGCCAAACTAGCTAGGGTCAAAACCCCAAGCACTCCAAGAACTTATGGATCTGTTTTGTTATGCTTTTGCTATCCTACTTTCTCCACAAAAGCCAAAGAATGTATGGGGGATGACAAGAAAACACTATAATCAGTGCATGATTCATCAGATAGCTAGCTAAGTCACTTCGATTTTCCAGAGCAGTCTTGTTATGACTGGCCTAAGTGTTTGTCTCTTAGCCTTTTCTAGTTAAATGTTTTATTCAGAAAATCAGAAATTATGTCCAGGTTGAAGCCTATCTCAGGTCACATTTGTTCCCAAGAGGCATAGCTATCCTGTCATGGTTAGAGATAGGAGATTTCTTTTTGCAAAATGGGCTGTGGATTCCCTGCAGCACAAAGCAACACCCTCTCAACAAGTCAAACAAACTAGATTAATGAGACTGTTAAGCACACACAATGATTTACTTCACTGGGGATTTGCAAATGCTTTGATAGATGTGAAGAACCCAGCCCCTCACTTCTTCCTTACTCCCAGCACTCATTTTCAAATTTTATTATGCCATAGTGAGAGATGTCAGTGAGTCCGGTGGCACTGAAACTTAGCAGGGCTTTGTTAAAAGCAGCCACTTTTCTATTATTCCCAGGCTATGATTATATAAATAAACATTGGTAAGGCGTTTTTCTCTAATACTAAAAAAATAAAAAATGAAAACAAAAAGGAGAGAAACATCAGTGCCTGGGGATTTTGTGTTAAACCCAAAAGATCTCCTCTTTATTTGGATACTTTTACAAAGTTAAATACTTACAAGGACAGATCACAAAGAAACTTGCTTATATAAAATATGCAATTTTAAGCTGCAAATAAAAATGAAACTTTTTCTGCAGCAGTTGTGTTCTTCTAAGTCAGATGTTTACAATTGATTTGATTGCAAGCACTATCACACTGTGATATTTAACACATGTTTCTCTTTCAGTTGTAGCAAGTCTAATCATCTTACATTTGTCTGGGGCAACCAAAAAAGGAACAGGTATGTAAATTTCACACATTTTTTTCAGACATGATATTAGAGTTTGAATTGTTAATTCAGTTTTGAAATTTTTAGTAGCTCACCTATTGTCAGTATTTGTCCTTTGCTCATTTGTGTTAAGTATTAGTGTGCCTGTACATGTGCAAAAATCCAGTGCTACTTTTTTTTTTAACAAGTTAGTGAGTTGTTCCACAGTTAGACCTAACTAACTGTGCCTGATTCTGTCTGTCTGAAGACTGTAATGTACTGCTGCTTTCATATTGGGAAGTCCAGTTTGGGCACTGAGCTATTTACCCTTAAGATAGCTTGTTGAAGTAGAATTCAAAATCTGAAATTGGGTATCATGGGTGCATTTATGCCAGGTGGGGCTAGAAAAATGTTCTTAAAGCCCAGGATGCTACGTGTGTTGAGAGCCAAGTGGGGAAAGCTGCTAAGCACAGTGTGTGTATGAACTTGTGTCTGAATGAGCAGTCCTTGTAGGCCTGAATTCATTTCAGGAAGTTAGGAAGTGTGTCATACTCAACTTGAACACAGACCAGGAAGAAAGAGAAATGCTTGCAGAGCATAAGGTAGATCTCAGGTGGTTAAAATCATCATTGGAAGGTACCTGTCTCCCTTCATTGATCATAAGTGGGAGTCTCAAACATCACATCTCTGCACATCAAAGGCTTAAGTTAAATGGAGCACTCCTTGGACATAGGTACTTCATTCACAGCAGAACACAGGAGTCCTCTTCAGGCACCTGTATGAGGTCTAGAACCTACTATACTTTTTTTTAATACCAGCATAGGTATTTTCCCCTCTGAAGAAACCATCTTATTTTAGCCTGCTTGTTAAAAAATGATGCCCAGAAAGTAATGCTTCATCTTCTTCAGCCTGAACAGACTCAAAACTTTATCTCCAGGCTCTCTGCCAATGTGCTGAAAGGAGTGCAAGAGTTTCAGGGCTAGGAAGAAAGCAAACAAGAAGGTCTGATTCTCCTTTCTGATTCATCTAGGAGGAGGAAATTTGGGGCTGTGATTCCTGGCCTTAGAGCTATTCATTTTACAGGAAATAGCAAGAAGAAAAAATAGTCTGTGAACTATAATCCAGGAATTCCCCCATCTATCTCTGCCTGTTGAATATAGAGTCAAGATGCTACAAATTTAAAAGAATTTATATATTCTATCATAATTCTCTAAATTTTCTTGATTTTGTGACTTTGATGTATTCCCACATTAAGGCAAGTAGCTTGCTGATAGAGTGGCTTGCTGAAGCCACTGACAGGAGGAGCCGTTTTATTGTCTAAGAGAGTTCAAAGTGTCATAGGGACATAATAATTTGTGAGCTAATTATATAATGCTTAATGTGATTATTTCACAGAAAAGCAAACTACTTCCGAAGGACAGAAGCCAGTGCAGTGCGGAACTTGGACAAAATATGCAGAAGGAGGCATCTTCACTTCTCCCAATTACCCCAACAAGTATCCTCCTGACAGGGAGTGCGTCTACATTATAGAAGGTGACCAGCTGAAGAATGTTTATATTCAATCATCGCTGTATAAAAACCCCGTGCTTTATTTTATTATATGTGAAGAGAAGGTAAAGCCTATGTGACTGTGATAAATCTTTTCAAGAGATGAGATTTAGAGAAGCTCCCTTCTTGCACTTCATAATTATTTTGTTTTGATTTGGTTTGTCATTTTAAAATTTTGTAGTGCATAGCAAGAAATACTGAAAAATACTTGATTTTTTTTTTTTCTGAAATCATTCATGTATTAGTTCAGGTGGTAAGTATGCATGATTCACTTAGTAATAAACACTATATAATTTATTCCAGGATATTCAGAGAACGAAGAGAACCTAAAATGCTGTAAGATGACCGAAGAAAGAATATTTTAAAATTAGTAAAATGTGAACACAGGAAACAAAAAAGTTTTTGCATTTCATATGAATTCTTTACATTCATCATAACTGAATCAGGGATGAGATTAAAGTATAGTATAGTAAGAGAAAAGTATATGTGTATATATGTACATAAGGCAAAGTATAGTAAGGGAAGTCATTCAGAAAATACCCATATAGCGAGTATAAAAATTTTCCATCTGATTGTTCATGAGAAATAAAAATAACCAGATTTAAAAAAGCCCCAAGAAACAAAATAAAACCAGAAAAGAATAAACATCAACACCAAACAGCTGTAAAACACAGCTTTCAAAGAGTAGTTGCAGGCATGGAGGTGTTATAAAGAAAGGCTAGATAGAGGTGGATTACAAGCAAGTTAATGCAGTTTCTTTTCGTCAGTCTTAGCACAATGGATGTTGAAAGGATTATTGTAAAAACGAATCAGTGGAAAGTAATGGAGATTAGATACTGTAAGAGCTTAGTAGCAGAAAAGATGGATCAGGTACAGAATGTTAAGTCACCAGAACCAAGAAGGTTCATTCATGAGTTTTGAATACTTGCAGAATACAACACTGCTGCCTGTTCTATCTGTGCTTGGTTGGATAGAATTATCAACTACAAATGATGGACTCAGCAATTACAGAAATAGTTATTTTACTAAAGATGCAGGTAGTACCAAAAGAGATTTCCAGAGGTGTATAGTTGATTCAAATTGAATTAGCTGGTTTAGAACCCCACAACTAGACCCTTTTAAGAAACCAGTTTGCCTTTCCAAATCTAGTGTTGAGTTACTAAAATATATTTCATAAAAAACTTCAAGGGGAATGATGGATAATAAATGTTTTGGTTAGGAAAATAAATCACAGCCAAATGACCAAGATCTCTGAATCCCACTCTAATGTTAGGTATCCTGACTGAAGTCAGAAGTAAAGAGGTGATTATAAATCATGGAGTCAGACAAACCCTTTAAAGAAAATTTATGTCTGTCTACTCTTCCCATTTGAGTCTGAAATTTAAGCAGATGTATTGTAAATGTTTAAATTCTTTCATAGTTTAGTAATTGAGCTACAACAAAATTAAAATAAACCCCATAAATATATAGGTTCAATATGTACTACTTAGCGCTATATATTTTGTTATGTTGATCCAGGTCTCTTTTCTGACACTCCTGTGAGGATGGGAAGAAGCAAGCCTCTTGTATCTTCAAGGACCTGAAACACAGAGATGTGTTTTATCATTAAAGAGAAAAGGTGTGGGAAAAAAAAAAAAAAAAGCAACAAACTGTTTTTTTAAACACTAGTCCAGTATCTCAGGCCAAAAGGTGTTCCTCTTTTTAGTAAGAAAGTGCCTGAAAGCCCTTTATTGTAAAGACCTTTGTCTTTATTACAGTAATTAAGTACTTATGAAAATATAAGTTAATAAGATGAAAGGTGACAATATATAGTTAATATATTTTGAAAATATAGTTAATAAGATGAAAGGTGGCAAAATACCCTGTTGAAATAACCTGATTTAGAAGAGCTTAGATTGGAAATACCCAAGAACAATTTAGGAAGGAAAGATTTACTCAATCACCTTTTATGATGAAGATGAAATTCCATGTTGATGAGTTTGGAGCGATGTGTAGTAAAAGGAGTAATCCAAACTTAACAGACATCTTGATATAATTTATGGGAGAAATCAATCTGGCAAAATCCAGTTGCACATAATTTCTCATGACACTAATATTTTCTGCTTCCTGCCCAGTCATAACAGTTTGGATTGCAACTGGGTATTTTAAAGCCCATGATGATAGCAGCTCTATTATATATTCTGATGAAAACCATGCATAATGCACAACATATTCAATTCTCATCTTTCCATGTCTGTTTCTGCCCTCTAAAAAGGTCAGGAATAGACATATCTGAGAAACATCACAAAAATAAACAGAGATGTAGTAAGATGTCTAAGAACTGATATTTTAAAATGTAGCAGTTTTTAAAAAAGGCAAAAGAAGAAACACTGAAGGACAAGAAACACTCTTTGTTAATTTTGGTCAGTTAGTTGTCCATATTTATTCCTTTTTGCAACATATACAAATGGCAGAATAGTATAAAGAAGGCTAGCAAATGAAAACTTTTTCCTGTACCTTTTATTTTCTCTGGAACTCATTGTCATGAGATGTTGAAGTCAAAGGAATGTAAAAAAAAACAATCCAAAAGATTATTTTACTAATAGCAATATCTTTGAGGTCAGATAACAATCTATGTTGTGGATAATCCTTGCTAATCCAGGACATAAATACCAATTTTAGTGTAAGACAGAAACATCTCCATATGCATCTTATTCCTATATTTGTTATTGAGATTCAGTATACTTCAAACAGCTTCTATCTGCTGTTGAATACCAAAAACCAAACTAGGTGGACTGTCAATATGAACCATAATAGCATTCCCACACTTCTCTCTCTCCTTTGTATGTCTCAGAGAATTCAGAAGTCCAGGACTGTGTATACCATAGCGACAGCTGTATGACGTGAGTTTAAATACATATATGAATCACCAGGTTTCTTCCTGCCTGCTTGCTTTTGTTCCTGCATTTTTTGCTGTCAAACACAGTCTGGGGCAAATACTTATGGCTTCCCTCAAAACCAGTTCCTACTGACTTCAGTGACCTGAGTGAGAACTCTTAACACGTAGTGTATTGTAATAGTACAGAATTTCACCTCATAATACAATTTTTCCACCCATATTGTAGCTTATCTTATATGCATGCAAGCCTTTTATAATTTCAAAATTGCTTTGGTGAAGTAAAGGAGCTGGCAAAAAATTGCCATGATCATAGACTGTGAGTTTCTAAAAGAGAAGATGATTTCTGACTCTAGAGGCTTCTATCCTAGCAGTCAAAGGCATAAGCAGGTCAAGCTCAAACAGCTAGAAGTTTCCTTTTCCTTTTTCCTTTTTCCTTTTTCCTTTTCCTTTTCCTTTTCCTTTTCCTTTTCCTTTTCCCTTTTTTTTTTTTAAACTTTTTTTCTTTTATTCTGTTTTAGTAGTAAGATAATTAACTGCTGGAACAACTAGGAATTTTAAAGTCCAGATTGGATGCCTTTCTAAACAAATCCTTTAGGTCATCCAGAAGTCACAGATTCAGTACAAAAATTATTATGCTGTAAAGGAGCTTCTGGTGAGTTCTACCTGCCTTTCAAAATTCATTGAGAATTTGTTCTTTTACTGTCTCATTTGGCATATAGAAAATAGGAAATAGCTGAGTGTATGCATTAAATTCCCTGTTGGGCCCAATTTCACTCTTATTTCATACATTCATGACTCCAACCTGGCAAAATTCACAACTGCCTGAAATGACCGCAGCAGTGGCATCATTAGCCTTTGCCAGACTGCAGAAAATTTGGCATGTGTGCTCCAAAGGGAAAGGAGCAAAGGCTTTTGTTTGTGTTAAAAATATCTGGGGAGTGGGATATTCATATTTTACACAATGTATCTTAAGAATTGGTTTGGAAATCCTTCAGGTGAAATACTTGTGAGATTTTATCCATTCTCCAGTCTTTAATAATTAAATGTTGATTTAAAAATATAGGTATGGACTAAAATTGCTTTATGGAGATATGAAATACCCACTTTATATTTTTGTGGACATTTAGAGATATCGCTGTGGAAGGCTTTCCATGTTTTCACTGAAGATCATTAGACTCTTTAATCGTAGATCTTTCACAGGTGTTAGAAAGTGGTTGTGTATCACTGTACGAAGAATCTCTGCTTGAAGTAATTTTGAATTTCACAGTGATTTCTTTTTTTGTGTTCAAAACAGTTTTCATCAAAACAAGAAAATAATCCTCTTTTAAAAGGAGGTTGTAGGTGGCTTTCTTATCAGTAACAGCTGGACATCCAGAAAGACTAAAGATTATTGAAAACTGTCAGTAATGTAGCAGTTCAAATAGATGGCATAGGTATAGAGTTCAATTTCTCATTTCCATGCAGTAGACTGAGACAGATTTTTTGCTTAACTTCAGCTATCAGATACACAGATTGAGAGGCTGATCAGAATTAAAATCCTAATTGTGTGGTTTTGCTGCAGCTGTTCTTCTACCACAAGTTGGAACCCAGTGCCTTTTTTGAATTGAGTGTAAAATCTCAAGAAAACACTTGTGTAAGAGAATTAGATGAAAAATATGAGGAGACAAACAAGCATTAAGTAGTCTTTCCATGGTATTAAACATTTTTGAAGAAAGACAAAGGGAAGTTAAATGTGGAAGATTTTTAAGATTTGAAGTAAAGTCATTTTGTGAGATAGCTCCAATATACTTCATTTGGACTTGACAACAACTTTTCCTAAACATTACAGCCACAGTAAAAGTTCTGAAGATGTGAGTGGGCTTTACCTGAGAATAAGGATACTGGAAATGACTATTCCATCCCTCCTTTTCTGGTTAGATGACCATATTCCAGTCCAGTCTGGAATAGTTGCATGTTCTGGGCTTTTAGTTTGGCAGATATGGTTTGTTTTTCCGTAGCTGTACATTCAGTATTATTAGTCATTATTCTGGACTTATTCTCACTGTATTTCTGTTTTACCATGAGCGCTTTTGCACACACTTTGATGCAAAAGCTGTGGCAGATGTGTGTTTATACAGTACCTGATCACTTTAGCTTGTGTTTGGCAAAGAAACCCTTCCTAAAGCTGGAATATAAGTGATGATACCCTTTGTTTAAGAAATTTTACTTTTTGCTGAAAGCAAATTCAAATTGGGAGTTTGAATTGTGTGTTTTCATTCCTTATGGTAATTTCTAGGAAGATTTGAATAATTTTGTTTCTTAGGTAGATTATTGCAAAATAACCCCACCAATCCCTCTAACCTTTAACTCTATATATTGTACAAGTTGAAGCACAGAGGTGCATTTAAAAGCACATGATGATAAGGTGCATGGATGCGTGTACAGCACCACTTCTTCCCTTTGCTCAGTCTTTTCCGATCGCCACAGTCTGCAGTTACAGAAACACAAAACTGTTAGGAGGAGAAAGGACCTCATCCTGTTTGGACTGCTTTGTAGAGCATGCTGGGACACAGGAAGTACTAGTACCCAAAGCAGGTCAGGAAATGTTCATTGGCCTTAAGGCTGATTGATAGATGCAACCACACATGTACAGATTAACTCCTATCACCTTCCCAGTCAAGAATACAGATACAAGCTACTTGCAGTAAATGGTCCTTGACTGATGCAAACCACCACATCACACCTAAGAAAGGGTTTAGGCTGTTCTGACTGGTATGGCCGAAATGATGCCAGGAGATGACTTTAACATTTAAGGAGTGTAAATGGTCAGTAGTCTAGCCCCAAAATTCATTCCCCAGCCTTATTTTGAGGTGGAGAAACAGTGCTAATGAATAGTCAGGTTCTCCTAATATGTGTAAAGAGTAGGACATGAATGATCCCATGAGAGGCACAGCAGGCGGAGGTACAACAAACCCTTGTCTTAGCAGGCTTTGTCAGCAAAAGCCTATATTGCACTGTGATCTAGACACTGGAGGCGTACTCTTTTGCTATAGACAGGATTAAGCTATAGGAAGAGCACACCTGAGGGATGTTGCATCTGTTAAAATTTGTAGACAAAACCTTGAGTATTTTTTTTCTCCTTTACTATAGTTCAACCCGTAACTTCATTGCTTTATACAGAAGATGCCAGGGAATATTTGTTTTAGAGATCGTTCCGACTGCCACTAGCCTTAGTATCTGTGAATAGACATGGGGGGTTTATGTCTAATTAAGTGACCATTCTAAAGTTCCTTCAGCATTTGCAGTAGAATGTTGTTTGCTCTTTAGCTAAACGTTAATTTTGCTTAATCCTCATCTGGTTTCTTAAGTGAGAATTCATTACATTTGTCCTTATGTTTCAAGAAATGATAAGCAATTCTGTGTAAACACAATTACACTGGAGCTTGTCATTGACTGCAATACATACAGAACAGAATTTGTCCTTCTTATTATAGAACAGTTCTGATACTATTTTTCTTCATCTTTGCAAACATCAGGTAAAAAAGTATTCCGATTAACATTCCGTACACCCCTAAATGTAAAAAAAACACTGTTTTTCCACATGCGTAAGTTTCTTAGAAGCCAATAGTTTCTAAACTGTATCTTGTTATACATTGTAGATATCTCTCTTAGTTTTTCCAAGAACTTCTGTCATGAGCACTTTTTAAAAGGAAAACAATAGACAAATAAGCTGATGGTGTAAAAAAGTTATAAAAATATAGAGGTACAAATAATGAGTTATTAAGCAAAATATTAAAATGCATACAAAATTGATATATCTGTTTTTTCTTCTGTTTTAGGTTTTAAAATCTTGGTTTAGAAAATAAAAAGATAATTTTCTTTTCACTTCTAGCTGCCCCTAGACAATGCATTGAACTACACTTTGATGAAAAATATTCCATAGAGCCTTCTTGGGAGTGCAAATTTGACCATATTGAAGTACGAGATGGACCTTTTGGCTTTTCCCCAATCATTGGACGTTTCTGTGGACAGCAGAATCCACCTATGATAAAATCCAGTGGCAGATTCCTATGGATTAAATTTTTTGCTGATGGTGAGCTGGAATCTATCGGGTTTTCTGCTCGGTATAACTTTACGCCTGGTGAGTACAAACCATCATAGTTTCTGAAAGAAAAAGCTTAGCATAGTAACTTTGCTAATGTTGTAGTGTTGTGCTGTTGAATAATATCTTTAACTGGGACTATGTTTATTCTCAAGGAAGGTATTAGCAGGTAGGAAAATGATAGAAGGTACATATATCTTTTGCTTGTTCAAGTAAAGCTTATCCAAAGAAGACATTTTCAAAACATTTATATCCAAGATGCATATATTCAGCTTCTGCAGTGTTTAAAAGAATTGTTTTCAATTGAATTCTATTATAGAAAATAATTCAAAATGTTTCATGGGAAAGATGTGTGTTTTATGCTTGATTGTTACAATGTGTAGCTATTCTCTTAAAATAATTACTGATAAAGTATTCTAATAGAAAAAAAGTAATTATCTTAGAAAATTCCGTCACTGCTTTTCCACTTCACCAATCATTTACCCTCATGAGGAGTGGAATAGTTCTCCCTTCTCAATAAAGCAAACTATTACAAGTATTGCCAGAGGAAGTGTGAGGTTCAAATAGTAAAATGCATTAAGTATTTTTCTAAAAAGATGTAAGTCTTAATTGTAATTGTACAATTATTATTTGTTACTTTAAAAATTTAATTCATTAAAGTAAAACAAAATTCATAGTCATACTTCCCATTAATTTCTTTCCTCCCCCACTTATTAACAAAAGATTGCTGATTTTAAATTTCTTTTTTGGCTGGAGCCACACTATAGTGCACTGCTGTATTTGATGTATTTCTGTACCTTCTTACGTATTGAGTGATGAGTCATACCTTAATATAGCTTGCTCTAAAGCACTGTAATTATTATGTAATTTTGTCTATTATGTCACTATTGTTTCAGCTAAATTATTGTATTAGGTGGAACAATATTCTTTAGCATATCTGCTAAAATTAACAGGCTCCGAATTCTGTTTGCTTAATTATTCCAGTAGCATCATAGAAGATTGCAGGACTACTTGAATTTTCCTCTCTGCAGTTGTCTTTCCCTAATGCAAGGAAAATAGTTCTAAAATAGTTCTACCCAACATAGTTCAATTTCCTTTGAAGTGAGGGATACTGTCTTCCATAAACATATTTAGAAAGTTGAAACAGCAACAGAACAAAGAGTTTCTGTAGCAAATAACCTGATAGCCAGGTATATGTATCTGTTGTAAACAAAAAGACAATGGATGCAATTTTCTATATCTACACATATTCTCTGAAAAGTGACTTAAATATGTATCTTTTATTTACCATGGCTCTGTAGATATTTGCAGTTTTCCTCCCCACATCCACCAAAAGTTATTTGCTTTGAATTTCATGTGATTCTTGTTTCAAAGAGTTATATATTAGGGTTGAAAAGATGTTCATAGCACAATCTGCAGCTTATTCTGTCAAAAACTCTCAAGTGAAAAACAATTTCATGGGCCATGTTTTATCCTCATTCCTTTTCTACTATGTAAGTTGAATTTCTACACGGAGATCAATGCTGGTAAATTGTGATAGCAGCATGAATTATTCCAGACTTCAGATGAATACCAATGTCTTCTTTTTTTTCTTCTTTTTTTTACTTTTTTATCTCCATAGATTTCAGTATGAAGCTCTGTAAATGATAGAGGATTTCTAGGAATATTGGCCAAGTGAGAATGTGATTAATTTGACAAGTGCAAAACAGCACTGCTGCCTCCATTACTTGACCAGTCCTTTACTATGTAGGCATGAAAAAGGCTTGACATTTTGAGATCTGTTGTTCAAATGTGTGCACTGGGATGGGGCACTATCAACTCATAAAAAAGACCTATGGCTTTCAAGAGTGTATAAATGAGTAGCATAGAGAGGAATTGCCTCCAGAAATTATCACCTTAACAGTTCAGACCTTAGGTAGTGACAATTTAGGAAATTTAATTACGAACAAAGGAGAGATCAGAAGAAAATTTTTAGCTATCTTCTCTTCAAGGAGCATCAAAAAAAATTATCTAGAGCAAAGACACACTTGGAAATTACTGATACCTAAAGCAGCTGAACACTATGGGGAGATAGTTTGTTGTACCATCTCACCGAGAGCAAGCAACACCCTCTGCCTATCTGCTGCCTGCAGAGGAGGCTTTCTTCATCCCAATGACAAGTGCAGCAGAACTATTTCTTTAGTATCAGCAGTCTTTCATGTTTCCCACCTGTGTGGTTCCCCACCCACCACTGACACATTCTTCAGCTACTACTTTTGCATTTGATATCTTGATGGAGGTTCTGGTTTATTGCAATGTTGAATGTGTGGTTGTGTAGCAAGATTTAAAATAATTACTTAAGCAAAATTGATTCAATTGAACCTTCAACCGTTTATTATTACTTGAATAGTACCTGGAGAAGCAAGGAAAGAAATTATTTACTAGGTCTCCAGGGTGTACAAAACCAGCTAACTGGATGAAGTTAAAAAAAAAAGAGATCAATTAAGGTATCAGGAAAAAACTTCCATTTGAAGATCTATTAGTCTGGGCAAATGGAATGAACCTTGTCACCTGAAGCATTTTAAACCTAGCTTGGACTAAGCCTGGGAAAAAAAATAAAAATCATATAAAGCAATCCTAAGGAATAGGCTAATATTTTGCAGTTACTAAGACTTTTCTGTTTAATAATTTCTTTGACTCCTTGACTCCTAGAATCATAGAATCATAGAATAGTTAGGGTTGGAAAGTTCCAACCCCGATGCCATGGGCAGGGACACCTCACACTAAACCATCTCACGCAAGGCTTCGTCCAACCTGGCCTTGAACACTGCCAGGGATGGAGCATTCACAGCCTCGCTGGGCAACCCATTCCACTGCCTCACCACCCTAACAGGAAAGAATTTCCTCCTTATATCCAATCTAAACTTCCCCTGTTTAAGTTTTCACCCGTTACCCCTTCCTATCACTACAGTCCCTAATGATGAGTCCCACCCCAGCATCCCTATAGGCCCCCTTCAGATACTGGAAGGCTGCTATGAAGTCTCCACGCAGCCTTCTCTTCTCCAGGCTGAACAGCCCCAACTTTCGCAGCCTATCTTCATACAGGAGGTGCTCCAAGTCCCCTGATCATCCTCGTGGCCCTCCTCTGGACTTGTTCCAACAGTTCATGTCCTTTTTATGTTGAGGACACCAGAACTGCACACAGTACTCCAGGTGAGGTCTCACGAGAGTAGAGTAGAGGGGCAGGATCACCTCCTTCGACCTGCTGGTCATGCTCATTTTGATGCATCCCAGGATACAAGCACACACTGAAGCCGGCTCATGTTCATTTTCTCATTGACCAGCACCCCCAAGTCCTTCTCCACAGGGCTGTTCTGAATCTTTTCTCTGCCCAACCTGTAGCTGTGCCTGGGATTGCTCCGACCCAGCTGTAGGGCCTTGCACTTGTCATGGTTAAACTTCATGAGGTTGGTATTAAAATGGTTGGAACTCCATCCACCAATGCAAAAGTCCACTCGGCAAGTCACTTAGTTCTTTCTTGCTTTTACTTTGTCTTTCTTTGGGCCATTGAAATGTCTACACATGAAATTTCATCACACATCTCTGGGTCTTTAGATCTGTTACCCTAATATTTCCTAAAAGGTCATGTTTCAAGAACATTTTCCAAAATGGTATTAAATCACTGTTCTGTTTAGAAAAATTCAGGTATTACTTCAAGAGGACTTACCCTTAACAACCATTCTTTAAAATGAGGAATTTTTTTTTTTAGTGTAGACAAAAGTTCGCACAGAGAGATGTTTATTTGACCTTTCTTACTCAGCTAAAATAATCAGATTTCTGTTTATCCTGGTTGCTGATTTTGCAGGACAGTAGCTTAAGATAGCACATCATTACCTTCAGTTCCTTCATTTAGTAGAAGCCATCTGGGTTTTTATTTAGCCTCATTAATATAACGGTCAATCAGTAATGTTTTCTTTTTGACTGACTGGTAATAGAAAAAGAAAAAATGCTTTATACTCTTCTGTCCCGAAAAGTGGAGTGTAAAACACTGCCTAATCAAAATAATGGGACTTTTACATCCCCATATAAGTGGTACAAGTAGCTGTAGAATGTCAGAGTAATAGAATAATAACATCATTTATCTTGAAGAAAAAAAAAACAACCCACCACAACAAAAAGAAACCAAAAGTCAAATAACCCAAATTCTTAATTGGGAAATTTCTATATTTTAGGTCTCATGAAATATTTAACATGAATTTCTAAAACAATAGACAAGATATTGTGGAAATATGTTTCCATCTAATGTACATGTCCTGTCTTCTGTGTAAGGAAGGGGTATTTCCCAGGCATCTGGGACAGCTGAATGCTTGTGGGACATTGCTTACTTGCTTTTATTTATATATTTATTTATCATTTATTTATTTTCATTTTCTCTTCTGAACTGATCTGATTGCTTCTAAGTTAACATCAGCAGTGGCAACAACTTTTAACGAACTTGTAATTCAGCTGTTTTGGAGAAGCAGTAAACAATCTCAGGGCCATGAGACTTTGAATGAGTCAAGCTTTTTCCTTTGGAATAGGAGTTGGTTTTTATGAGAAATTACTCATACTTCTTTGTTCAAACTTTTGAGCCAGAAACTACTGATGTCAAAAAAAAAAATAAATAAAAAGGTGTGAATATTTTTTTATTTATTATACTGAGATTTATAGCTCCCAGCACTTCCGATTGTTATAAACAGCTTCTTTGAGTTGGGAACTTCTCGTTCATACACACGCTCAACAGTCAGGCACTTCATTGCTATTTAAAATGTATTAGGGCATCTGGTCTTGTGAATGAGAAGGAATTTCCACGTAACATCTGGCATGATGCCGTTGCATGTTACATTAAAAATCATGATCAGCTACAGAAATACTATTTTTTCAAGGGTATCTGATTTGTGTTGTGCTGTTCTGTAGATTCCATTAGCTTACAGGAATTGTAGAATTAGGCCTGAAGTATTTCAGTACCATAAATGTGAGAATGTAGTAGAATAGTACGCTATTTTGAATTTCAAGTGAAA